ATGGTGTGGCTAGGCTCACAAGGTTGTATTGTCAATGAGAATGCCCAAGAGGGTGAGCCCAAGCCGGCCAACACCAATTTATAGAGCCCCCTCAAAGAGCTAGCCGTTATGCCCCTTCACTGGGTTGTCTGCGAAGTGACCAGACCCACTGACCGGACGCTCTAGCGTCCGGTGCACCTACGCTGTCCACATGTCCACTGCATTTGACCTCGGCCATTGATCTCTAATGGCTACTCAGCTCAGTTCGCACGATTATGTTGCATCGGACTTGCCTGAGAAACTGACTGGACGCGCGCACAGTAGCGTCCGGTCGTTTCCAGAGAGCTCCCCAAGAGCTGAAATCACGACCGGACGTGTCCGGTCACGGTCGATCAGACGCACCCAGCGTCCGGTCGCTCTGCTCAGTTCCGCGTCGAGCGCCACATCACACTGACCGGATGTGGGAACAATGTCACCAGCGCATCCGGTCGGTCTCTACACTAGAGTCCAGTCGGCAGCGTCCGGTCAGCGCACAGACACCGCCAAGCCACATGGCACAACCGGATGCTCCTGTAGTGGAGTCCAGTCGCCACTGGTCCAGCATCCGATCAACCCAGTGCTGCTCGCACTGAGCTAGGGTTTAGCACCGGACGCGTCCGGTCAAGCCGAGACTAGCGACCGGTCACTCTCTATGACCTCCTTCTCTTCTCCAAACTCTTCACCCTTGCTCCCATGTGCTAACCACTTTGTGTATCACCTTTGTGCACGTGTGTTAGCATATTTTCAAAGTATTTTCAAGGGTGATATGTTAGCTCACTAGGTCCAATGCATATGCAACGAATTAGATCACCTAGTGGCACTTGATACCCGAATCACTAGCGAGTTCTCCCCTCTTGATAGTACGGCTATCAATCCTAAATGTGGTTACACTCTCTATAGTGTCTTAAGCACCAAAACAAAAGAGCTCCTATGCATATACCTTTGCCTTGAGCCTCATTTTGTTTTTCTCTTTCTTCTTTTCCCAAGCTTGAGCACTTGATCACCATGATCTTGTGGCATCTCCCTTTCTAGCCACCAAGCTTGCTCCACCACTTGGGGTACCAACCTATCTCATACACTTAGAGCAAAGGTTAGTACTAGGTTTCATCAATTAACCAAAACCAAACTTAGGGCTTTCAAAGAGGAAGCTGGGGGAGGTTGCCGTGGAGGCGTGTGGTAGGGTTGATGAGCATCGCGGCCATGGTCGAGGCCGATCAAGGTATTCTCGTCCCGGGAGGCGTGCTATTGCAAAGTGGTCTTCGTCGAAGGCTAGGGCCACATCGAAATTGACATCAATGAGTGACGCGGGTCGTCCGACGAAGGCCGCCCGTACTTTGGGTGGCTCTCGTGGCATTGCTGATGTGGATGGCACCTTGAAGATGCCCAGTTTGAATGACATTTTTGTCATTGATTCTGATGAGGAGGAGGATGTTGATGCCTCGGTGGAGGTGGGGAGGGTTGTTTTGCCTGGTGGCTCGGCTGGGGCTGGCCGAGGGTCGCATGAAAGTTCTAGGGGCGACGGGAGTTCGTCTGATTCTAGCGATTCATTGGAGGAGGTCAAAGAGGAGGAGGAGGAGGATGTTTTTGTTAACTCTCCGGGGTTCCTATGGGTGAAGGTGAAACTCCCGGGGTGGAGGAAGGGGCGAAGCGCAAGCATGGTGTTTTGACGCTGGTGGCAAAGGGCGGTTCTGAAGGATGATTAGGAGATTGATCATAAAGGTGGAAAGGTGCCGTTTGGCGAGGCTAGTCGTGACAGGCTCGTTCACTTGAGTAGTCGGTTGGACGCTGACAATGATCAGACGGAGCTGTTTACTATATAACAAAATGGTTAGTATATGTCTAGTATATCCCTTGGTAGTGTTTTAGTTTACTTGAATTTCCCATAAATAAGAAATCTGTGTTGAAAGTCCAAATTCCTTTGATGTGATGTTCAATGCCTTTTTTAATTATTAGTACTCATTTCATTTCAAACTGTAAGTATTTCTGTTTTTTCTGTACAAAATTCATATATAGGAGTATCTTGAAAAGCAAGAACAATTTACAAGTCACAATAGAGGGAGTAAATAATATATCTTTCCTCGCTAATAAGTTCCTATATATGTGGACCACGATCCATGGCATCGCCGGATGAAAGTTAGGAAGAAAAAAAGGTGCAATATCCAATATAATTCATCCATAGGCCTCTTCGTGCTAGTTTCTGGTCACCGCGGATCGGGCCTTGCGCGATTGGGCCCTGGGGTTTCGGGGTTTGGTCTCTCCAAGACATGGTTGGCTGGCCTATTTTCTAGTTAAGCTGAAAAAACCTCTAATGCTACGTATAACTTTTTAGTGCAAAGTTTGTTACACGACCTGTCGCGCACAACGCGGACGACGTGTCCCCCATGGCCCAAGAGCCCATTACCTGCCGCCGGCATTAGGGTTTGGGGATCCAATCTCCGACGGCTTTAGATGGGAGTTTGGGGGCAGCGGCCGTGACACAGTGTTAGTGTCGGGCGAGACAACGGCGGAGCAGGGCGGCGGGGGCTGCCCGCTGGGGCGGTGGGGGACGGTGGTTGGGTGGGGTTGGCGGTGGGGGCGTTGTGGTGGAGTCATTGGTGAGCTGCCCCGCGAAAGATTACAGCCTCTTCCGATGTTCCTCCGAGGCTCGCAGCTGCACATCATATGGTAGCTTATCCATCTCATTCTGCGGAACTAGGTTGGGGCATTCGACCTCCGAGTGACCCAGCACCCCACAAGCGAAGCAGTAGAAGGGTGGATTTTTATACTGTGTGCTTCAAACCATTTCGGATCCCTCTCCTCTGCTCATGCGAAGAAGTCCCTCCGACACAAGGGTTTGTTAATTTCAATAGCTACCCGGACCCGTAGGAATGCCCCGCTCTCTTTTCCATCTGCATCGGCCCGACTACCCCTCTATCGGTTCATCTAGCCGAGCGGTAAGTTCAAGATCCGCACCGAAATTTCTAGACAATCGAACACAATTTCTGAAGCACTAAGTCTTTCATCATATGGCTTCAGGATAACTGCATGTCGACCCACCATCCAAGGAGTGCCCCACCAGCACCCTCTCCATGTCCATCTTGCTCCCGAACTCAGCCATGAACAAGTTATCTCCCTTCTCCCCGATAGCCCGGATCTTCAAGCCAAAGGGGTTGCCCTAGGCCAGCTTCATGACCTCCCAGACAGTATTCACATGGACGGCCAGTAGGGAGAGAACCATCCCTACTACCGCCAATCCATCGAGAGCTCCGCGTCTCCTTCATCATCATCACTAAATTCCACCACGGCCCCCTCCTACTCGGTAAGGTTAAGCCACCGCATGAGGTTTGACACATTCGGACTAGGGTAATCACCCTCAATCGGAGCTTTGCCGTCCCCCTTTCGTCCACCTCCCACCGCCACCATAGATGTGATCTGCTAGGGGGAAAACACATGTGATCCGCACTGCGGTAAGCGCAGACACAAACAAATAGGATCCCAAGACTAACCTAAGCGGCGCTTAGACCCTAGTGAGGAAATAGGGTTTCGAAACAATCTGTGGTCACAGGCGCCAGGAGCCACTAACCTACGATTTGTGGTGGCCGCAGTCGACTGGGTGTCGGTGGATGGGGCGTGGACACCGTGACCAAAGTGGTCGCCAACGGAGCAAGCATAGGGTTCACTGATGTGGTGACCAAGAACGGTGGTGGGATCACGGTCGCCTTTGGGATGCTCTCAAAATTGGATTGGCTGCATGGCGCGGACCTTGCTTGTTCGATCTGGATCCACGATGAATTTTGATTTTTTTTTTAACAAGAGTTTAACCTCAGTTTTTAAGAAAGCAAAGTCAGATACAATACTGGGGACACCAGTTTCTTCAGAACACAAAAGCCACAAAAGAGAAAGCCTATTACAAGCTAAATCTCGCAGATGTCTGTAGATATCAGAAGGCTAGGTTTGAAGCTCTTCATCCAGCACAGAATCTCTTCCTTTACTTGCAAAACGCGCTGGCGATCATCTTCCTTGAGGAGCACACTCCACTTCTGCAGGAATGATAATGCAATATAGATGATGTCAGAAGGAGACTTTGGATACTTGTGTTCAATAGCCATCTTGTTTCTATTGTTCCAGATGGCTCAAGCAAAACCTGCAAACATGAAAAGGGTTAAACTAATAGGAAGGGGCCCCTTGCCCTGAAGCCACATTTCAGACAAACACTTCACAGAAGTTGGGTAGTTTTGCCACTTGAAAATCTCACTGAGGAAGCCCCAGATCATCCTCGCAGTTACACAGTCAAACAAGATGTGATTTACTGATTCAATGATCCCACATAAACAACATTTTTCACATCCTTTCCATCTTTTTTTCCTGAGACTTTGGGCACATTGCAGCTTATTGTTGAAAACTTGCCAAAGAAAAAACTTGATTTTCAAAGGTATTTTACATTTCCACAGATAACCAGCTATCCTACTAGTAGCCCCACCATCTGTGATGAAATTGTATAAAGATTTAGTAGAAAAAAACCTTTCTTTTCCAACCCCCAAATGACACAAGTCTAGATTTCCCTCATCCAAGACAATGTTATTAAGCTCATCCTTGAGCTCAGACCATCTAACAAACTCCTTCACAGACAAAGATCTTCTAAACTTCACTGTCCAGTCTTCCTCCACCCAGTGATCAGCTACCACACTATCAGGGTCTCTGATCATTTTGGAAAGATCATCATAAGCAATTTTAAGGGGCACATTTAGTAACCAGCAATCTTGCCAAAATCTGCAATTCAACCCATTTCCAACTTTGAAGATAGCACCCCATTTGAACAAGTGCTTCACTTTATGGAGCCCTTTCCAAAACCCGGTATCCCAAAACCAAACATCTGTAACTTCTTCATATTCATAGATTTGCAATCAACCGCCATATGGCCTTTTGCTTTGCATTTAGAGACAGGTTCCTTAGTACAATCAGACTGATGATGTCCTATGTCTAGGCAACAGAAGCATTTGACTTCAGCAGGGTTGAAAGATTTCATACCTGTCGATGGGCCTGCTCCACCTTCTCCAGGGATCATTGAGCCGATGATCAGGGCGATTCCCGCCCGCCTGCTGATGATTTGGAGCCCAATTGCCCTGGTTGTTGTGGTTCCGAGCCCCCTGATGAGTATCATTCCAGCCTCCTTGCTGGGGATAATTTCTCCCAAAGTCATTCCTCCCAGGATTGTACGCCCTGTTGGCCCCAAAACGCTCATGCCCCTCTTGGAATTGATCCCTACCACCGTAATGATCCAGGCGTCTTCCTCTTCCACCTCCATCAGCGGCTCCCGGACCTCTGCCACCGCCCCTCTGAAGCTGGCGACGCAGATCTTGTTCCTCCCCAAGAAGGTTGTCTTCCTCCATCCACTCCTCTTGCCGGCGTTTGCTCGTAGGACGGGTCGCAATCTTGGTGGCTTGAGCAAATGATTTGGTTAGGGTTTGGAATGGAGGCAGAGCTGACTTTACGAGAGGCATAACGATGACGATCTGTGGGACGGGCAGGGTAATAGATAGGGATCCAGTGTAAGCCTTCCTTTTGGTATCCAAAACCATCCCGGCCCCGGCCCACCAGCAGCCCAAGCGCGGATCCTGGCCCAAGTTGTGAACACCTTCGTCCCCAACCTGACCTGCAGCGCCAAATTTTCTGGAAGATTCCGATCCATGGAAGTCATCCGAAAGGAATCCGCCATTGTTGATCCTGTGCCACATCTAGCCTTGGATTTTTGAAGATCTCCATGATCCCCTGACCTTCCCAGCGCTAACATCCTTCCCATCGACGCTTCTAAGCATCAGCTAGTTCTCCCAACTGGGAATCCGAATCCCCGTCGCAAAACAAATGACGCTTAATGTCGGCTGCAATCTGCGATCGAACGAGACTCTTCCCTCCCTGGGTCGATGGGTGATAATCAGAATTATCCACAATCCAATCTCTGTGTTGATTCGGAGCCAGAGTTAATCGTCTTTGGGCTCCCTTGCCCTGACGAATCCCCTGCTCAATCGATGGCCATGCCTCCTCTGAGAACGCAACATCATCGTCCTTCAGCCGAGAATCAGGAAGGCGACAAATCGGAATCCCAAAATCCCCTACAGTTGATTCCCCCAAATCCGAATGTAGGCGAGGAGATGACTCACCGATGATTTGTGCGCGCCAGGCATGACGAAACTCCGCCGCCGCGGATTGAGGAGAAGTCGTCACCTGAACTCTACACGGAGCTCCAATCGTTGCTGGACATCCTTGTCCTGACGAATCCCCAATGTTTTGTGTCTGCCAGACCTCCCGTCTAAGCTCAGCCGACGACGGACAAGGAGCCGAGCCCGCTGCCAACTTGGAGCGAGCCGCGGACCGGGACCCGACCGCCACCGCGGGCTGAGGATAGGGAAGGCGCTGTCGCGGGTCGTCGCTCATTTTTTTTTTCACACCAATCGGCCATCGATCCGATGAATTTTGATTAGGAACTATAGTCCCTTTTACATTAAAATCAATTCAATAATTTATGATTGTATTTTGACTAAAGTAGTTTATACAATAATGGATTTAAAAAATAATTTTTTATCACGTTGAAACATGCGAACATTTGCTAGTTTATATATAAATAGAATAGATGATTTATTCCTCGTCAGTATCTGTAGCACAGCGTGGAGTTTTTGGAGCAATGGTAGGCCTAAGCTTTGCATGAGCGTTGACTGAAGTCGTCGAGTACAAACACTATTTCACGTTGTCCGTATCCTACAATAAATAGCCCTGGCTTTTTCAAGCGTCCGTGTGGGAAAAAAGGCACACACAACCTGTTGACGCCGAATCGATTTTTGCTGTCAACATGTCCTAATTTTGGTTTTTGAGAAGAAACAGTCAAGAGAAAGGATATACCTTTGCCATTCCAACTTTGCAAGCCCTGCCATGCTTGCTCAGCTTAACAGCTCCTCTGCAATGGTATTTCGGCTTTCCTTAATAAAAAATAAAAATAACAACAACAACATAACAGCTGCTGTTAGCTGGTGGATCAATAATGTAATTATTATACGTATAAAAAAACTAATAAAAACGTTTGGAACGTTGGCAACACAAACACATGGATCATCACGCTCTTTGTTCCCGAAGTCCAGGGATGGACCGAGCTGTCTAAGGCCCAGAAGAGTACGTGTGGTCCATGATCCGACGGCGGAAGGCCGGCATCGGCATCGGCATCGGACGGCCCGGGCGTCCCCGTCAATGGACCAGTTGCCGCCCACGGTTGGTTGGTTGGGTCGGTGGCGTCCCTCTCCCTCCTCTCCTCTCCTCTCCTCTCTCGCTGTCGTCTCCAACTTTCCCTTGGCTTGGCTGCTGCCTCCCCTCCTGGCCTGGCCACCTCCCCTCTCCGGCTTGATCGATCTACCCATCCCTTCCAAGTTTCCAACTGACATTGCCGCGCCGCGCACGACTTCCGCCCTCCCTACCCTCCGCCTCACGCATATATACGCGCGCGCCTTCCTCCCCTGCCCCTGCCCCTGCCTGCCTGCCTGCCCACGCGCTCCGCTCCTCGCCCCCCTCCTACGCCGCCTCCGTACCCACGGGCAGGGGCACGGTTGGTGGCTCATCGCCCGCCCCGCTTCCCCTCAGTGGGAATCGGAACATACAAGCACCGGCGCCACGGGATTCAGCTCCGTCGGCCGGCCGGCGCGGACGGAGGCCAGGTTCGCTTCCCTGCCAAAGCCTCCGCCTTTCCTTCCGCCCGCGGTGTTGATTTCATCCGATTCGCCGTACTAGATACTCCACTTGTAGTATAATATAATCGTGCCGCCGGACGAAGTCCAAACTTTCCGAGTTTTTTTTTACTTCGCATACAAGAAAAAAAATAGTTTTTTTAAGCGCCGGTTAGGTGATTTGGTTGGTCTTGGATTGGGATTTCAGCCGCAGAAAGGGGTTCATGGAATTGGGATTTCAGCCGCAGAAAGGGGTTCATGGAATTGAGATTCCAGATGCATGCGGGGCTTTCGGTTTCGAATTTGACGCTGCTATTTTGCGACCTGTAAACAGAGCTAGTTAATTCAGCTGCTCCTACCTGTGCCTGCTCTGTACTTGTGGGAGTAATTGTAATTCCGTGGAGGACATTAATTAGCTGTTTGCATTTGACCGCAACGCAAACTGAAATTGGCCTGCAGCAGTTCGTTCTACACACACAAAATCTTGAAATGCTGTACTGTTTGTGCGGCGCACTTAGCAAACCGAGTAGAAAGTGCATACTTGGGCATTGCTCATACTTTTAGATGCATGGGGTGTTTTTGGTTTCGAATTTGTCGCTGCTATTTTGCGTCCTGTAAACAGAGCTAGTTAATTCAGCTGCTCCTACCTGTGCCTGCTCTGTACTTGTGGCTTGTGGGAGTAATTGTAATTCCGTGGAGGAAATTAATTAGCTGTTATCTGCATTTGACCGTAAGGAAAACTGAAATTGGCCTGCAGCAGTTCGTTCGACGCGCACAAAACCTTGTAATTCTATACTATTTGTGCGGCCCACTTCTTAGCAAACCGAGTAGAAAGTGCATACTTGGGCATTGCTCATATTTTTAGATGCAGTCCAACCATTGTGGTTGCTTGTTAGTGTAGCTTGTAATGCTATGCAAATTCAAAAAACATATTTGGATTGGAGTCTTCTGACTATGGATTGCCACGTCTGTGTTTTCTCCAGGCTCCCTTTCTGTTTGCATAATAAAGCCGCTGCCATTATGATCTCCCCATATGATGCGTAGCATTTGTTGCTTGCAACTGTATTGCTCCTCTAGCTGCACCCTTGTACTAGAGCATGGCGAAGCTCGCAACTCTTGGTCGCAGGTTCGTATACCTACATGCTTGTCTCCACTCGAGCCATTGACTTCTGGACGGCTAACGTTGCCTGCTAATACGTTCTGCCCTTGTTGACGCTCGCAGTGTGCTTAGATTCCCAAATGGAAGCATGAGGCTTGTTATGGTAACAATTATTGGAGCAGTCCTTGGCTTTTTCATTGGAATTTCATTCCCTTCGGTCAGCATAACAAAGGTATTAATGATAATAATGTCCACCATAACTGCAATATCTCAACTAATTGAGTAATTACTTATGTCTGTTTCGAATATGCCAGCTTCACTTTCCAGCTAGCTTTGTTTCATACATTGAAGACAAAAACTCTGGACTCACAACCCAAGCTATACTCAATCATGCTTGGACTTCTGCCAGAAACGCAAGGGGAAACAGTACCGAACCAACTTCAAACAGTACGTTCGAGGTTAGTTGTATTACTCTGTTACACTACTTAGTTTAGTTGTGGAGTACTATGGCTATTTGAATGATATCCATTTAACGTGATCTTCTCCTTGAATACCAGATACTTATAAATAATAAATAAACCGTTTGCTATTCCTGATATATTTTAGTTTGTCTGATTAGTTTTTCTTGGATGATCTGTAGATTTATGTCCCAACGAACCCCAAGGGTGCAGAGGGGCTAGCACCAGGTATCGTTGTTTCAGAGTCTGACCTCCATTTGCGCAGGTTATGGGGAGACCCAAGTGAGGTATATTTTCTTGTGCACCATCATCTCATCAATCTTCTCCAAGTGCATTTGATATATTTATTATAGCTGGACATGTTGAGAACTATACTGGAAACCTAATTTCTAACTCTTTGATACTTCTCTTGACACATGCTTTAAGCATATGCTCCTACTCATGCTTGTTCTTTCTTTGTTTTCTTCACATTTCTGAATTTGTGTCTTGTGCTTCTTTTGACATGTGCTACAAGCATATACTGAGCTGAAGTTCTCTATTTCTTGGTAGGATTCACAAATTATTGAAACTGAAAAATCAAAGCTTTGCACTTTTTCTGCATTTTGTTGCTTGCAATGTTCTATGCTGATATTTGATCTTGAATATACAGGACCTGCCTTTCAAACCAAAGTACCTTGTTACCTTTACTGTTGGAGTTGAGCAGAAAGAAAATATAAACAGAGCTGTGAAGAAGGTATTTTTGACAACATCAATGAGCTGAAAAATGAAAATAATGTCTTTCCCTAGTTTTGATGATAATGAACTTTCAGATCCATTTATGGCATTTTGTTTAACTCAGCTTCCTGACTGTTTTGTTGTTGGTGCTGCAGTTTTCTGACAACTTTGCTATTCTGTTATTCCATTATGATGGTCGGGTGAGTGAGTGGGATGAATTTGACTGGTCCCAGCGAGCTATCCATATTAGTGTCAGGAAACAAACTAAATGGTGAGTTTCATTTGTGCTCTAGTGTACTGTTCATAGTTCAATTGCTTAATTTGAAATGATCTTGTGCTGAAAGTTTTGTTTGTGCACACAACTCTAGGTGGTATGCCAAGAGATTCCTGCATCCTGATATTGTGGCAGCTTATGAGTACATATTCATCTGGGATGAGGACCTTGGGGTTGAGCATTTTAATGCAGAGGAGTATGCTTTCATTCTCCCCACTTCCTTTTAGTGCTATTCAACATTGACCCTCTTACATATTGTGATAATGCTGGGGTTACAGGTACATCAAACTTGTTAAGAAGCATAATTTGGACATCTCTCAACCTGGATTAGAGCCTGATCGGGGTTTAACATGGCAGATGACCAAGAGAAGAGGTGACAGTGAGGTTCACAAGTGAGTGTAATTCTTATCTGAAAAAGAATACTTCTTTTATTTTTATGCTGAGTTCTCGTGTTTTAATTTTGCATCATTTTGGTTATAGGGAT